ATAGAACACTTGGACTGGAAAAGAAAAGTGAAAATCCTTTGTATTTATTCATAAACATTGGAAAAGCACCAGCTAAAAAGTTAGTGTTATCTTATATGGGAAAGACATTTCTCGAAAGCAGGATTGTCTAATAGAACTGTAAGACAAGTTCATATGAAAATTTTTTACATTTAGTTTACTTATTTCATGAGAGAGAGACTGTGTGTGTATATGTGTGTAGTGTGTAAGAGAGAAAGGGTGTGTAAGAGAGAGAGAGAAAGACAAGTATCCTCAATAGGATCTCATGCTGAAATCCCCTCCCAGTCGTCTCAGCCAGCCAGTATCATGAGTACACGCACTCTGGCCCAATGTGTACAGGCAACCCAGGCACCAAATCTGGATCTTCCATATGGCTTCCAGCCTAGCAGAGCACTGCCCTACCACTGTACCGCCATGACTGGGCCGTTTATGAAAATTTTCACTTTATAGTTATCACATTTAAAAAGTGAAAAGAAATAAGCAAATTAATTTTAACAACATATTTTATTTAATCGACTAAATCTAAACTATTATTTCATTATGTAATCAATATTGAAGTATGTATTTTAATATGTAATCAATATCTTAAAAAATTAATGAGTTATGGGGCCAGTAGGTAGCATGGTGGTTAAGGTGCTGGACACTCCCACATATGGCCAACCACGGTTCAAGTCCTGGATCTGGTGGCTTGCCTTCTCTCTTCTCCTTTCTCTATCTCTCTGGTCAAATTAAAATAAATGAATGAATAAATAAAATTAAATAATTATTAAAAGAAAAAACTAGTGAGTTATTTTCCATTTTCATCTTGCACTATGTCCTTGAAATTAAGTAGGTAATTTCCAGTACAGAATTTCTCATAGAAGAAAAGCCATGTTTTACGTATTCAATGGTCACACACAACTAGTGACTACTGTACTTAACAGTGTAGCTGTGTAACTCCAGACCCTTATCCCGGTGTGTGTGTTGGTGTTTATGTGTGTGCGTGTATAATGCTATGAGAAGTAACTTCAAAGTAATGAAAGATCTGAAATGTTTTTGAATAACCAAATAAAGACCATCTTTTTTAGTATAATTTGATAATCATTTATACATTTTATTATATCCTAATACTTTGAATATTAGTAATCCAGGGGTGGACTATGCTTAATTAGATTGATGGAATCGTTATTTGTAAGTTCTTGATTCAAGAACCATCTGTGATCAAAGTTTCCTTTTCCTTTTAATTTGCCAAAAGGTGCATGCACTCAACAGAGATAGAGAGAGAGAGAAAGAGAGAGAGAGAAAGTGAGAAAGCACCACCCATGAGTTATGGTTATGCCACAATTCCTCTCCATATCTCCCTCCTTGTAGGATTATAGACACACACTCACACACATCTGCTTGTCATGTTTTTCAAGTCATTGGATCTGGGGCTTCAACTGTGCAGTTGACCGTGTGGAATCCAGCCATCTTAACCACCACTCCCTAGGCTAGCCTCAAAGCTTTCTTTAAACAGGTGTTAGTGAGTATGCAGAGTGCCTGAGTGCAAAAGTCAGTAGACACATGGAAAACATCATGGGCTGTTCAGAGAGTCTTTCTGAGTGAGTCTGGGCCCAGACCCTATTGATAAGGACACTAACCTTCTTCTGGTTTGTAGAGGCAGTGCCAAGGAGGTGAGAAAAGAGATACATCTCAGACAAGAGGGAGGTGGGAGAAAGCATGCAGTACACAGGAAGAAAAGCACCTTGTGGTGCAACCCAAGTTACTCTCTTAAAACCACCTCTGCAGCCAATCCATGTGCCTAAAAGGGTTATCTTGCTCCCAATACCTCCCACCTTGAGCATCCTAGACAATACGGGTATTAGCTGTTCACTCCTGATTATGGCTACATTGAATACAACATGGAACATGACAATATTATCCTGAATAGTAGGGCAAGGTAAATCATGTACTGACTTCTTTTGAGGAGAGGAATCTATCTGAACAGATCTTGATCTGAAGTAGTACAGAGTCTTAAAGGCTAGTCTACTCGTATAATTGCATAGGAGTGTGGCACCATTTTAAGAGACCATGCACCTTCACTCTTGATAGCAAATGAAGTGTGTGTGTGTTTTTGTTTGTTTGTTTGTTTGTTTATTTATTTTTTTATATAGGACACATGTACTGTCTGGGGAAAGAAAGATAGAAAGAGAGAGCAAGAAAGAGAAAGAGCAACAGAGAGAGAAAAAAGAGAAAATGAGAAGTCAGCCCCCAAGGGAAATAGCCACACCATAATCCCTTCTCCTCTATTCTTCTCTTAGGATTTTGGGCGCACACACACATGTGCCTGGTGTGTTTGTCAAGCTGCCAGATCTGGGACTTGAACAGCACCTTTGGCCATGTGAGATCCAGCCACCACAGCCTCCTCACCACCTGCTGGCCCAGTAAAGTTATTCCAAATGAAAGAAGACATCTTTCAGACATGACAATGATAGTCAGTCTTTTGTTATTATGATATTTTTTTGGTGGTACCAACAAATATTTTCACTAGCTTTATTTTAACTGTTACCTTTCAATTTATAAATTTAACTTTTTAACTTTTGGCTTAATATATGAATTATCACTACTGCAGCCTGATGGTCACAGATAACATACAGACATAAATTTAAGAAAACAAAGAGATTAGAGATAAACTAATATTTTAAAAAGTTCTAGTATGTTGTAGGTACTGAGCTAAGAATTTTCCAAATATCGTTGTCATCCATATTTGAAAAAAGCTGAAACTCTCTTATACAGAAAATTCACACACATACTATTTCCTTTGTGAGAAGGCTTAACACACAGCTATACATACTTTAGCCTTAATTCCTTGTTTTATGGCTTTAAGTCACTTCTAGATTTGTTCTGAATAGACCCACAACAGTTTCTCTATATAAGGGACAGAAGATATATTGTTTAGCATGTTACATGAGATATAACTTCAGTCAATTCTTTTGCAAATATTCAAAGCTATTACCACAGCTATTAATGTTTTAATGAAGTTGGCTGACTAGGGATCTTGTCTTCTTCCTTTGTCTTTCATCTAAGCATCTTTTTTAATTGACCAAAATTTTGAAAGTTAAACATATCACTTCGGCTTGTCATTTCTACTTAATTCTCCTACTCACCAATCAAGTTGGTAACCATTAGACCTTTTATTTAACTTTCCTTTATTCATTGATCAAATGAATCTTTATTGAATTCATGTTTGTGTACCTCCCATACACACACTTCTCTGAAGGTATTTCTGTAGTCAACTCCTATGCCTGACATGCTGAAAGAATGTAGATTTTCCTTCCATTGACAAGCATTACAATCTTACGTTTTATATCATATTATGGCATTATGTCCAGTTAAACACAGACATCCAAAAAGAGATTTAGTGCCATTCCAGACAAGAAGGAAGTATGAAATACCAATAGTTGCAATGTTACAGATAAGAAAATTATGACTAGACAAGAGAACAAAATTATTCCCTCTTGAGACTATGTCAAAATCCTCGGGCAGATCAAGATGGTCTGCTCCACTAGTTAATTCTTCATCCCACAACTCTCTTATACAATGAAAATTGTGTTTTGCACAATTATTCTGAATGTATAGTTCCATAAATGTTTTATGCCCTCCTAGTCTGCCTTTTGAATGGAGGGTACTTAACAAGACATGGGACTTATCCTACATGTGACAGACAAATCCTGGACTTTCATGAGTGCTTTCTGAGTTCCAAGTAAAAATTCCATTACTTTCATACTCTATTTGAATCCATTCAAATGAAGGGAATCAAATTCATAGTTTGAGAAAAGCTAAAGGTCTACTAAAAAACAAAAAGTTAAAGATGTAATAACTAGTGAATCTCAAAAGCCCATTTAAAGCAAAGATAGTGGATCTCAATTTACAGCAAAGATACATGTGAAAAAGGCACCATTTGTGACTCTCATCCACCATTTGCACACGATCTATCACCTCAGCAGACAACATACTGGACCCTTCATTTAATCTGACTTGCATTGATGACACTGGCATGAAAGGAAAGGGCTTAGATGTTGGGCCCAAGCAGACCTGACTCTGATGTGGGGTCCCACCAACTCCTCACTAGGTAGGCAAGATTAGAGAAGGTATTTGCAGCTCTCGGAGACATCCCTCTATGTAAACTAGGAACAGGGTCCATCATGACCCAGGGTTGCTCTCAGAGAGAGAGAGAAAAAAATATTAAGCAATATGTACAACCCTGCCTAGCAGTCCCAATTAATATTCGTTGCCCTTTCCTCCCCCATTTGTTTTGTGTAACAAATTTGCTTTTGGCTTTGAAACTTGAAACCTCTCCCCTCCCCCAGCAGTACACATTTTTTTCAGAGTTGTCACAAATCTAGGAAGAGAATTAAGAAATGACTGTAAAAAGATGGTCCATTTAACATGAAAGTTCTGGGGAGGGAAATTAGTAATTACTTGTTCAACCTCACGTCCACTTTGTTAGCAATGCAGGTGCTCTGCGTTCCTAGTGTGTTCCTCTTGAGATACATATTCTACATAAGTCTATACGCCTTTCTTATTTTAAAAAGCCCTTAGGCTACATGACAGGATATGGGATCCATTTCAACTGCTATTCTTGCTCTGTCCCTTCGCCTGCTCCTTAACAAGGTTAATAGGTCAAAGATGGAAATAAAATTCTTAAGTCTTGAACTTAGCTGGATCCTGTTCTTAAATACACTGAGAGACTTTCAAATGTGTTTTACCCATGAAGAGACGGTATGAAAGACGTTCCTTCACTAGTTGTCAGAATACTGCAATCATTGCCTTAAGCAAAAGGGAGAAACTATTGACCTTTACATTAAGAAAGGAAGATGATGTGGACTTAAAAACTAAAACGACGTACTTTAAACTAGAAGTACCAATAAACCCGACTTTCTCAGGTCTTGCCCTACGGTGGGAGTCCACAAAGGGATGGGGGGGGGGGTTGTCACTAACTCCTGGTCCTAGACCCAACTCACCTAACTGGAGCTGTTCGCATGTCCTGTTTGGATTCTTTCCGATTCTGCATCTATAAATTGCCCCGGGGTTGACCACGGAAGCGTTGGCAAGCCAGTTGGCAGTGGGCGCCCCCACTACGAGCCTAGGGCGAGAATCACGCACATGCGTTCAGACGAGCTGCGCTGCCCATTGGACCCCCGTCTTGACAGACATGCAGGCACCAGGCGGGCAGCTCCCCCCCACCTCCTCCTCCGCCTACCACCCGCGCACCCAGCCTGCCACCCCAGGCTCGCTATGCCAGAACGCACCCCCGGCGCTGCCACCCCAAGACAGGTTAGTTTCTCGGGTGGCTCTCCGGGAGCTGGCTGTCGCAGCGTTTCCCTCCGGTCCCCCCTCCGGAGGGAGGAAAGTTTGAACCGGACAGGGACTCTCCGAGACATCGTTTTTATGCCGCTCGGAAATGCCGAGAGCTTCCAAGTCCGCCTCCACTCACCATCGGTTCGCCCCGTGGCCATGCAGCACCACCGAGTAGCCGAACAGCGTGTCAGGGGGGCCCTGGTACAGCAGCGCGCTCTCAGTGTCCACGTTGTAGGGCCGGGCGGTCGGGACCCCCAGGCACAGCAACAGCATCACCGCCTCCCGGACGACGGCCCCTTGGGGACCGGGTCCGCGCCTCGCTTCGCCTGCCATGCGCTCTCTGTGGGGAACATTCAACACCGGACGCCGCCTGCCCCGAAGTTGCACGGGATGCGACGGTTGGCCAACGGGAAGAGCGCCCCAAGAGAAGAGGCGCAGCGTGTCCGGCGCCGGCTGGCGAGAGGGAAGCGGGGAGGGGGAGGGACGGAGAAAAGCAGGGAGGAGAAGTTCGGCCGGCCGCGGGCGGAGCGATCCTGGGCGGCCTGGGACGCCGAGCGGCCGTCGGGCCCCACGCCCGGTTTCTGTGGCCGCGAGGGGCGGGGGGGAGGCCGGTCCAGGGGCAGGTCTAGGGGCGCCCGCCGCTGGGTGGGGTCCCGGGCGTGGTGCAGAGGCGCAGGGCGCGGCTCCGTCTCCCCCAGCCCCACGGGTGGCTGTAGGGGGCGCTGAGGGACCTCGGCTGTGCCGGGCGCGCATCCCGGCTCAGGCCTCCAAGCTCGCAGAGCTCGGGCTGGCCCCGAGGTCCCGGTTTTGACCAGAGTGGACCTGAGCGGACGCAGGGCTTAGCCTTTTAATAGTGGATGGAGCCTAGCTACCGAGCCGCTGGGCCCCACCTCGTGGAACCCTGTTACGAACCCCGAGCATACCGGGCCATCCAGGCAAGACCCTAAGGCCAGCCACAAAGCAGGGACAGGGACTAGGGCAGGGAGAAATCCTGGTTGATAGTTAAGAGCTGTGCCGCAACTGATTATTCGGGCGGGCTCAAGTATCCATTAGAGAAATTAACCAGAGTCACGAATTAAATACGACGCAAACGAAGCCCCGAAGGCGCTGGGAAACATGCTGGTGACAAAGACGTTATGGCTATTCTCTTCAAGACTCAGCCCTGCACACTATGCCTACTTCCTTCCTCCCACACTTCCTCTTAAGCCCCGCTGCACGCATGAGCTGGCAAGCACAGCTGCTCAGGCTGAATGGCATCTCGGGCTGTCCCGGACCCCAGCAGACGAGGGCTAAGGAAGCACAGTGCCGCACTGCAATGGGGACTCCTTCAGGTTCTTAAAGACCCCCTTTCCAAGCATCCACTCAGTTTCCACGGAACACATCTGCCATGAGGGGTGTAGACGCTGTGTGAGGTCAAGGCCATGAGAAGTCTGTGAAAATACACGTGAGACCCACAACACACTTGGGATGATTTTTACTCTAATGTAATCCAGATGTGCCTTGGGTTTCTTTTCTGAGAAACTGGACACATATATGATTATTAGGCTGGTATTTACAGGTAGTTATTTATTGTTGTTATAAGAAAAGAAAAAACAAAAACAGAAAAAAGCTTTCATCAAAGGGTATTTCCACATGTCTAAAACCATACTAGTTTTTAAAAAGAAATATTTATTTATTTAATTTTATTTGTTATTGTTATGTTTTAAGTTGACCAGAGAGAGAGAAAGGGAAAGTGAAAGAACAAGCCACCAGATCCCGGCCTCAAATCCCAGTCAGTCATGTGGGAATCCAGTGCCTGAGCCACCAGGCCACTTGCCAACCCCTTAGAACCATACTGTTAACCATACTATTAACCATACTAACCATACATAGCCACAGGGCCACTTGCCAACCCCTTAGAACCATGCTATAATACAACACATGGTAAGTTGTAATGGCAGACACAATTAAAATACTTGTTCATTTACTCAGTGTTTCATCTGGACCACGGCAGAGGAACTGAAAGAAGTTGCCTGGCCAGGGCAGCTAGCCACCCACTCAGGTTGGCCTGATGTGAGGCTGACTAGAAGGCAGAGATCATGACCCTCATAAAGCCGGTAGGGGGTTTTAAGGCTATGCTGGAGATGTTTCTTGGTCAGCTATGGGTTTCAGAAGTGTGAAGACAAGACTAAATACAAATACCTAATTTTGGAAGCTCCTGGAATCCTAAGGAGAGAGACAATCGTGGCAGGAACTAGGAAGTAGCAGCAGGGAAAGAAAGAAGTAGATTCGAGCAGTATATGAGCAATAGACCCAATGGAACTTGGTAACAGCATTGGCAATTGTGAACGTGGAGCTGAAATGAAGGCGTTAGGATGACACCCAAGTTTGTGGGTATGGAATTGGGTATATGGTACTCCGTGCAGAAAAAAAACACTGGAGAAAAAAGGTTATGACACATGTACGTGGGCACATGCATGCAGATGGGGGCATTGACAAATTTAGATACGTCGAGTTTAAGGTGTCTGTGGAATGTTAGATTTTTCTAGCCAAAATCAACCCAATTATTTTTACTCTCTTGTCAACAGACAAAACAAGAGGAATATTCACCTTCTCTTATTATTTGCAACAAAGTAAAAGGCTAATAAGATGTAGAGTCAAATTTTTGTAAAAAAATAAATTGGCTTCTAGAAACCTAGCTCTTGGGTTCCATGTGAATGATCAGCTCCTTCTTTCTCTGGTTGTGCTGAGTGTGTTTCTTTCTGAGTATTCCTATATGTAGATTTCAATCCTGTTCTACAGCTAGTTGACAGCATTATCTTTCTGAAATCAGCTGCCCTCCAGTTTGCAGCCTAGTTGAGGCTTGGGAAGCAGGTGTATCCCACATTCTCCAGACTCAGGCAAAACGAAAGCCTTTGAAGTAGGTAAATGCTTATCTGCTCTCTCCCTCCCTCACCAAAATCTTATTCAAGCAAATCCACTCAACACAATTCTTTGCAGAGCATAACTGAGGTGAGTAGTGGTCAACTGAGTGGTTGACAGGGCAGGATCTATTTCTATGGTTATGGTTACAATTCACCACCTTTCCGGAAACAGTCACCCTGTATGACTTCATATGCTATGTTAACCCCAAGTTTCTTTCCTCCAAAAGTTAGTGAACAGTTCACTTTTCTTAACATCGACAAGAATACTATGTGGGAGTGCAGCAATGTAACCATTACTCCATCTTCTGATCCCCCAGCATGAGTTTTGTGTCACTGGGTCCAGGACTCAAAGTACAGTCAACTACATGGGAGTCCAGCAATGAAACATCTGCTGGTACTAAAGAAGAAGATGTTTAAAAATGTTTATGCCTTGGGACCAGCAGTTAGTCTAATGGCTATGTCACTGGACTCCCATGTAGTCAACTGCGGTTTAAGTCCCAGACCCGGTGGCTTAAAACTCATGCCGGGCACGAGTGCGGGCGGGCCCAAGATCCTGAGAGGAGAATGGAGGAGAAGGGATTGCGGTGTGACCATCCCCCCCTGGGGGGTGATTTCTCACTTTCTGCCTCTCTGTCTGGTGAGCGCATGTGTCCTATAGCTAAAACCTCTCCAAATGTCTTATAGCTAAAACCTCTCAAAAAAAAAAAAAAAAAAATGTTTATGCCTTATAACTACTTTCAACTGGACTTAAGTATTCAGTCATTAAATTAATGTGTCATTTGAGTGCTATTATTCCAAGTGCCTACTGTGAGTTAGGAACTACATTAAGAACTCAAATAAGAATAGCAGACAAAATGCAAGGGGCTGGGGGCTGGAAACTGGTGGCTGGACTTTCACATGGCCTACTGCAGTTCAAGTCTCACACCTGGTGGCTTGTTTTCTAACTTTCCCTCTCTGGCAAGGATGTGTGCCCTATCACAAATTTAAAAAATAACAGTAAAAGAGTGTTGGTGGCATCTGTCCTATGGCAAAAACCAATGGAGGCTGAAGGGTTGCGGCATTGAGTCTCTCTCTCTCTCTTTTTCCCTCAGTGTGCAAGATTTACAATAATAATAATAATAAATAAAATTAAATAACTCTTAGGAAAAATGCAGGGGGCCTCTCTTTACATATCCTTCTGTAAGAAGTACTCCCCTGTAAAAAGAATTTGAATATGGACTCGCCCAACTTTTCAGTTGTTATCAAAAATGAACATTCGTCCTTTATGAAATACTCTCTTCTCATAATATCACTTTTTTTGAGCTCTTCCCTCTGCCTCCTGTCCCCAGCCCCCTTTTAATCTTGTTGCTCTTAATCTCCTTTGCTGGCTCCTTTTCCTCCACCAATACCTGTTGGAAAACCCAGGGCTGCATGCTTGGCCCTCTTTATTTTTTTTCTGTATCCTCCCTCTTTAGGAGATCTAACCAGTTGCCTACGTCTTTAAATACCATCTCAGTATCATAAGTGCTAATTCATGTCTCTAGCCTGAGCTTCTCTTCTGAACTCCACATTCTGGTGCCTACCTGACATCTGTACTTGGGCATCCAGTGGGTATTGTGCTCAAAAACTATCTAAAATTGAGTTCTGGTCCTTTCACTCTCATCTAAACTATGTTTCTATTCATCAGTTTCTTTATAGAAAATATCACAGCTGTTCAGGACAGAACTAATAACTGATTCCCTCCTCTCTATCTCCCATACCAAATCTGTTGATCACTAAGTCCTGCCAATTCCACCTTTGAAATACAACTCCAGCCTTCCTGGTTATTGTGTCTGCACTGCTACTACTCTTTCTCTGACTGTCATAGTATCTGGGCTACTCAATGATCTATTGTCTGATCTCCCTACTCATCCTTTCTCTACCCTCATCAACTTTCTACCTAGAAGATAAAGTGAATTTTAAGAATCTAAATCATGTGTGTATTCACTCCATTACTTAAATCTCTTAAAGAGTTTCCCATTGCTCTTACTGCACAAATCACACTTAACATGGCCTAAAAGGGCCCTAGAATCTGATCTGACTTCATCACCAGCCCTGCTATTGGCCACTACCCCTTGAGTATATTGCCACAGGCATATTAATCTTTCATTTTTAAAAAAGAATTATTTATTGGGGACCAGCAGTTAGCATAATGGCTATGTCACTAGACTCCACGTAGTCGACCACGGTTCACGTCCCGGACCCAGTGGCTTAAAACTCATGCAGGGCGCATGTGCATGCGTGCCCAAGATCCTGAGAGGAGAATGGAGGAGAAGGGATTGTGGCGTGACCATCCCCCCTGGGGGGTGATTTCTCACTTTCTGTCTCTATGTCTCTCTCTGGTGAGTGCACACTCCCTATACCAAAAACCTCTCAAAAAAATTATTATTTATTATCATTTTTCAATTTTAATGAGAGAGAGAGAGAAAGCTGCCAGGCCCAGGACTCAAACCACTTTCAGTCACATGGGAGTCCAGTGCCTTTAACCACCATGCCACCTGCCAGCCCCCACATTAGCCTTTCTTAATTTTCTTAAATGTATCGAGTTTCTTTTGCATCCTTGGGTTCTTTGCTCATATTGTTCCCTCTGTGAGGACATTTGGCCTCTGACTTTTCATGTGATTCTTCTTTCTCTTCCTTCAGTCTCAGCCTAAAGGTTTCCTCAGTCTAGAGG